AGAGAACATGATTTTGGAGCGTACTCCGTCAAGGCAGTTGTACCACGTGATTGCTGGCCGTCCCAAGGGTGCTAGACCCATCAGTCGAGCAAGTGGCAGCTGTTTCAGCTTCTTTTCTGGAATTATTTACAGGGAAGTGTTCAAATTCCGAATCGCAGCTATGACTTATTAATCTGGAGGAAAAACGGCTGTACGCCAAAGCTTTCGCGGTTGTCTGACCTTCGCAGGCACTTGAGCCCAGTGATTCGTCCGTGAATGCTCATTTTAGCCGCCTGCACGCGGGAGTGCAGTTTTTAGTGATGGGTCACCATTCTTGACCATGGATGCGCATGGCGCTGAAAACTGACTTGGTCTTCAGACCCAGCTTTGTTTTAGTCACAATTGCTGTAGCCATATGGATTCATCAGTCGATCACTTCCATTCAGTTTCTATCCTCGGTTAACTCGACCCTGAGATACGTGATTTTGTCCATCAGTACCACTGCTTCTTCATTTATTTGCAGATCGCAGCGAGCAGAGAAAGGACTAAACATTAAGCTTTTGGTTTTAGACACGTTGGCATGCATCCAGCCATGTCGTACTTGGCTGCTGTCTTTCCGCGGATCGCTGGAAATTAGTTTCGATAGATGTGATCCGAATGAGGTCGGTTGAAAACTGCAACTCTGTTTGATTGATATGTACTTGATACACTTGTCACCCTGACTGCACCTGACTATCCTTTCCATTGTCAGTGCAGACAGGAAGGGAAAAAGAACACAAACTTGCCATAGCAACTGATCATCGACCCCACATTTTTGCAGGCACACCCGTAGACTGTTGCGTGGTGTCCGGTATAGACTATCTCTATGCCTGCAAAGCATGTATGAACCTGATGGGCGAACTCCCACGATTTCTCAACAGCCTTCAATAAGGCTAGAGTTACTCACATTATTATAGAATGGTCTAGTTTATTTGTTTGGCTTATATATTGGAGCCGATTGCGAGGCTACCTAGAGACGCATACAGGATGTATTTAAGAGGTATTAAAAAAGAGCAAAGCAAATGCGAGGGAGGGAGATATAATAACAAAATGCAATGACGGATGACTTGCATATTTTCTCGAGCAATTTTGTCTCCTTTAAAAGAGAATTGATCAAGCATTTGGTAGCGAACGGCAAACTCACTCATGTGTAAGCCTCTGCTGGGTGGAAGATAGTTCCTAGTTTTTATCTACAAGTGGTTGCTTGTTTTTGTTAAGATGATTATTTAGAGCTTCATGGCAGGTTGATGATATTCTTCATGATGTCTTTTGACACGTAGCCAATCTGATAATCAGTTAATCAGTTAAATTTGCCTAAACGTACCCTAAGGCGCACGATAAGTTACTAAAGACTGGATTTAACAGATAGATAGGTGGGATTTACGTTATCTTGACGGACACGAGTTTCATGCAACTTCTAAATTATAATCTATTGGGATACTGACAGAGCTAGGAAAAGTATTAGCGCTGCATCCTCTTTGTTTCAAAATGCTGATTTTTAAGCACAAGCGCTCTGCCTTCTCACCAGAGGTAGAAAAGAGGGTGAAGATGATGGCCTATTGGTTTTTCTTCATCATGGCAGCGATCCCTATGGCCCCGCTGATGGATGACTCCAATCTGATCCTAAATACTTCGCCACTTTTACTTTTCACCTACTCTTACGTTACCACCTTATATGTCGAATTTTGAATTGTGTGGGTCGTTGTCGTAGGCTTAGTAGGTGGTAATCTTCCAGTTAGCGCAAGTGTTTGTAAAATGATATAATTTCAGTGATGTACAGACATCGAGATCAGTGGCAGTCCTGGGCAATGAAAAAGTGACCATTGCACAAAATATAATTGAAAACTGCACTAATATAGTTATATCGGCTGTTACCAAGTATTGCTTGAATGGCTGCTGGGTAGTTTTCTTGAAGGCGTGATCTGATTCGGCTCTTCGTGTGGCCAACTTAAATTATTTTTATTTAACACATTGTAGCTTAAACATCTGGTACCTAATCCAATCATATAAAATATGTTGTTTTGCTTGCTCGACCAAGAAAAATTTTGCGAATTTGTACGTCATAAATATAAGTAAAAAAATAACCACTGAACGAATGAAGTGCGTGATGGTTGAAATGTCGCTCTTCCTTAACACTATCATGATGGAACAATTTCTTGCGCTTTTCTTTTCTTGAAGTTAATGTTGGATCGCTGTCCCATGCCATGATCCACCAGCGCCTTAATTTAAGGACATGGCTCTCATCAATTTTGGGTCAGGTGTTGTGTACAGTCTCATGTTTCCTCTTCCCAGGTTGATACTGATTCATCAGTCTGGAAAGGAAGAAGTAGTAGTGACCTTGATCGGATCTTGAACTCCGGATTTCTCGGTTCTGAGTTCAATGCTTTACCCACTGAACAATCTGGGTCTTAACCATGAGTCTATTTCCGATCGTCTTCGATTTCCTATAGACGCTAAAATCCGTCTCGCCGTATAAGTTTAAACGAGAGTTTATCCAAGTAAGTTTAAATTTGTTGATGTTGATTGTGTTTAGTTGTCCACGTTGAGCATGGACATTTCGCAGTTTCCTCAAGAACTGACCAGTCCGGCCTTGCAGCTGGTTTTCATGATGGGACTGGACGTGCACAACAACCCATCCCACAAAACCGTCTGCGACATGTTCACCAAGGGATGGAGATCTGACCCACTCCCACTGAACTTCTGCATTCTTACCGATGTACAGGATCTACAGAAGGTGAAAACTCAGGTAATTCAAATTAATGAAACCAACGTTTGATACTGTTAATGTAGTTTTTCACCAGTCTAATGACAGTTGTCGCTTCAACCACTAAGCATTACTTTCAATACTGTTGACGTAATCGAACACTAGTTATTATTAACATTACTTCTTAATCTCGGTTGATGCGCACTCTTGTAATTTGCATATCTAAAGTCGTTGTTCAACCAAAGACGAACTGTTCTACCAAGTTGTGCCATATGCGACATAGCTGTTTATCATTTCCAAGCATGGATTCATGGTGAGTAAAAATATTTTTCGTGTTCAGGCATCGTTTTTCGTCCGTAAAGCCATTATGCCTTTTTTAAACTAAACAAAACTTTTCACCCACAACAACTCCCCTTCTAACTATACAGTCAAATTATCCTTTTCAAGTACATTGATTTTAAAGGTATAAAGACCTCTTTCGTCTTCCATTTACCACTGTGTCCATAACGGCCTGTTTTGCAGTTGATGCGGTATTCCGTGCATGCAGTACTCCTAAGATACATGAATTGGCTGTTGTTGCTGCTAGCACATAATATATGCACCATGGTTTGATTTTGAAATGGGAAACTGTATTGAAGGATCCAGTATATAAATTGATTGCACAAAACTACATAACAGGAAAAACGCAACGGTTCAATGTTTGGGGAAGACTTATTATTTTTTAAGCACTGAGCGATCACGTCATCGTAAACCGCAGTAGAATGCGCACATTGGTAATCATTTTTATCATCGCCGTTAACCATTATCATCGCAGTCATTATATTGACGTTGGTAGCAGTGATTATGAATTAGTTGATTTCTTACCTAGCTGCAGTGAATTTATTGTTCTTGCTTGCACAGCGAGCGGATTCCGCTCGCAACTTACTAAATAACTAGTAACCTGTAACCCGTCGATTCCAGCAGTGAACATTACATAGGTAATTTTCATGTTGCATTTTGGAAACATTCCTTTTTTGTTTGGTGAATTGAAGTTAGGTGACGTGTGCTGAACGGCTCATCAGTACTAACTCTGCTACTAGCTGCCGCCGAAGGTCTCTACTACTGGTACTAGCTGCCGCCGAAGGTTGCCTGTCGGAATGGGTGCACTTGACCTGCAGGACTGGTGGTCACTTTGGTGATCAGGCCACAGTAATTTAGACCATGACGATATAAACATCTTCTTGTAGTTTAGGGTAAAGTGGGAAGTCATTACGGTGGAATGGATGTCAGAGAAAATCGTAGCCTGTTGCCTGAATGTTAAACATGCGAGGCTGGATGCTATTGTCCTGTGCCCCATAAATGTGTTGAGTGAATGTTGGCGCGCTGTCGCTTTGCGATGTCACAGTCGTCACAGCCTACATCAATGCGAAGGTGAACCCAGTGCAGCACATGACAGGTTGCTTTGTCGTCTCGGTATTAACAGCGTGAATGATGACAACGGCATCCGTCTGTTAAGCCTTGAAGAGATAAACAGTTTAATCATCGGCAAAACCCTTTTTCCTCATAAGCATATGAACTAAACCTCCTGTACGTCCCGTATGAATGCCTAAACGCCAAACTGGATCATATTCTCATCAACCGCAAGTGGTGCAACTCCTTACTCAAGACTCCCATCATTCATGGCCCCTTCATGATGTTTGATCACCATGCGGTCATGT